TTACTATAATACTAAAAACTTGCAAAGATTTTGTTTACTTTTTACTATTGTCAATGATTTTCAGGGGTGAACCGGTTTTTTTTTTTTTTTAAAAATAATAAATTTGGCACCAATCATCGAACAATTGAGGTCAATTCATTTTTGTAATCATTACTAAGGTTATATATTAACCGGTTTTTACTTTAAAGATTTGTACGTGTTGGTATTGGAATTAATAATCATTATTCTGTGCTGAAATTTCAAAATTCGGTAATTTTGTGTTTCGGTTTGTGAAGATTTCATTAATACGTAAAATAAATATACTGCTCAAATTAATGTTAATTAGTTTTAAAGGTGAATGTGACAATTAACCTTATTTAACATATTACGAATGCTATGTATGAGGATACAAGACAAAGATATTCACTATTTAAACGGAAAAAAAAACAAATAATCTTTTCTCCTCTCAACTGAAATGGATCTGGATGAACCTTTTCCCTGTGAGATATATATGTGATGAATTAAAACTATACAGGGTGAGTTTTCACATTGATTACTTGTCGAATTATAGTATATATCCAAAGTTACGCTGCCACATCAGTGCAATGAAATCTGATAGAGTATTGAAAGCACATCGGGCCAACCAATTGATTGAACGTTTTTCTCTATCAGTTATCGATATTCCTATAGTATTGACCCTGTCTGCGTTAGAGAGGACCTTTCTGTATTAAAATACTAGAAAGCGTGCGTCTGGGAAGTTGGTGAATAGGGTATTCTCTAGCATTGAAGCATGTAACCGTTGACTATTCCGGCCATGTTCTTTGTTAGTTGATAATGATGACACAAGTATTCTAATAATAAATTTTAACCCAAAAACAGGTCATTATAACTGATTAAAGAACTAGAGACAGAAGTATTGACACATCGGATTCGAAAGTATGACACTATTCAAATTATCGTTTAAAAGTTTTTTTAGGTAATATTAATATATAATAAATCCACTAAAAAAAAAGAACTGCTCCATTTAAGAATGGAAATTATAATTTTAAATATCGCATTCATAATAAATATTTAATTAAAAATTTTTTTTAGAATAGAATTGTCGCAATAAATAATAAAGAAAATTTCTTTCAAATATAAATGTTAATATTTACAAAGATGAATAATTAATTCGAGAAACTAATAAATAAAAATTGACCAAATAATGGCTTAACTAATGTTCAACATCGACAAAACTTTAGAATTGCTATGAATATTTTACCAGTAATTTTGACTAACGAAAAAATCGCACATGAACTTAACAACTATCAGCTCCAGTCACCTCATACAGAATTAAGTGGAAAGTGATTGAGCCTCACCATCTAACCAGACTTGTGCCGCCATAAATATTCAGATATTTTGAGATTAATTTGCTAAAATCGGTTATTTTTGCGATATCGACAAAATATTCTAGATACTTGTGTATATATTATAATATAATAGGAAATTATCATAGCAAATCGCAAATTTAAGAAAATAAAGTTTCTAACTAGCACTATTAAAGAGGCTTTAATAAGGTTTTTTGATGGAGTCAAAAAAATTAGTAATTTTCTATAATTCTCGTTAAAGCCTCTTTAATAATGCTAGAAAAAAATTTTTTTCCTAAATTTGCGACTTGGTATGATAATTTCTCCTTAGCGGCCTAAAATATAATATACACAAGTATCTAGAATATTTTGTCGTTATCGCAAAAATTATTTTAGCAAAGGAATATAAATAAAAAAGACTTGGTTACTAAACCTCTAATCTGAATAAATGATAGTTCAATGACTTTTCCACAGATCACTGAAATGGAAGATATTGTAATAGAAGTTACTATAAGTATATGTCGCTCAGCTAACAAAGTTGAATGGTATTAAACCGATTATTTAGCCAATTCAATTTTACAATCTAGTATTAAGTTTATAAGATCTTGAATCATAAATAAACTACATATTAAATAGTGTAAATAATATTTCTTTTTAAATTCTAAGTCGACCTGGAAATTTTATTCTATTTCTTAGAAAGTAAAGAACTTCCTTTACGATGATTTCATCGATTTCATATGCACCACAAAATCGAATATTAAATTCTGCAATTCCTTCCTTTAAGATGGCGACATCGTTACGGATTTTATTTAAATAAAGAATTTCAAACTCGTTACATTCTCCAATTGAGATATTTATTGTGCTATCAAATAAGTTTTGATGAATACTTTCGATATCTATGATTTCTTCTGAAAGACGAATACGTTCTTCGACTGAATCACGAATTTCTTTAAGTTGTAATTCGATATTTTTAATTGTATCATTCAATATATTTATTTTATTAATATTAATAACAAATGTGTCATTCATATTTGTAGTTCGTAAAGATTGAAATTCGTAACTTAAATATGAATCAATATTTTTTATATTCGAAGAATTATCTTGCTCTAATACATTATTCCCATTTGGAGTTTTATAATCTTCAGATTTGAGGGTCGACGTCATTTGTAAGGATTGAATTATGGAATAGGAATATAAATATTTGGAACATTCAATTTCTATATACGAAGCAGAGTAGCTATAGTAATGCAAACCTATAATAAGATTCTTAGCAGGTGGCACCTTATAGAATTGATTATGATGAAAGAGTGAATTTTCTATTATTTTAATGACTTCAAAATTGAGAGATTGAAATAAGCAATTATTAATCGTTCTATTTGATCGATAGTAAATTAGCGTTGAGTATATATTTTGGTCTATTCCATTATTTCTTATTTTATAAGGTTGATTATAATTGTCTATGAAATTAAAATAAATATTCTGGGTTTTTCGTTCACATAATATAGTGCCAAAGAATAAATGAAAAAACAATTCAGTGATGATTTGGAAGTTATACGAAGTTTTAACGATAAGGGATCTTTTATGTTTCAACTTTTTTTTAGTATTTTGATTGTATAAATGAAATATCTTCTCAATGAAAAAGGAAGTTCGTTTCGATAAAACTGGACAAGAAACTTCATTTGTTTCGTTTATGAATAGCCGATCTTCAATTTTTTCACTATGATCTGAGCCAGATTTGTTGATAGTATTTGTAAATAATATGGAAAACCCAACAACGAGACCAGAGAACAGCAAGAGAGGTGGAATCGGAATCATATTTAATATTAAAATCGAAGATACGAAAATCAAAGTAGCAATAATCAATAAAATTAAAGTCAAGAAAATTGCAAAAGCACTTTTCAACAAAAGAAAAATAAAATAAATAAAAATAGTTGTTGTTTTATAGGCAATTCTTAGCAATGATGCTAAGAGCTTTAAACTGTTTTTACTTAACATTTTGTTAATTTTTTGTCGATTCTGAAAACTAGATTTTACATGATTCTTTTAATACATTTTTTCGTAAATGAGCTTGTCCAGATAAGGAAATAATTAAAACAATTTTGTTTTAATTTATGCTATCGTTGCCGTGGTTATTCGTATTACCTATTTTGCAAAGCATTAAAATGAAACTCCAAGATAAGTATGATTAATAATATTTTTCGGGTATATAGTGCTGATCTGTTACGCAATTAATACGCGCGGATTTTTTAATTAAATTTTTTCAGTATATAAATATGCGAAAAACTATAAATACTACGTAATAAGATTCCAAAAAAGTTGCAACATAAATGAAAATTAATCTACTACTAATACAGTAATAATAAACAAAGGAAATGTTCAACTCTTCAAGCTATTGTTCAATGTTTCATTTTCGTGAATGTACTTTTCAAATAAGGGATAATTAATTTAATTTATGCTATCTTTACCATCTTCGCCATGGTTATTCATATCACCTTATTTTTACAAAAGCATCAAATGAAACTTTGAGTTATGTATAATACTGCATTTTATGATAACAAATATATAGCGTTGATCTGTTCGCGTTAAACATACTAATATAAACCAAGTTTATGTTCCAATTTTTCGTTAGCTATTTCAATTTTATTGTAAATGAACTCGTTCAAATAAGGAGATAGGGAGATAATTAATTCATATTTGACTTAATTTATGCTATCTTTAGCCGCAGTTATTCATATTACCTATTTTATGAACTTTGTGCGATTTAAATATAATATCGGTTTATAATATAAATGCAAATCTATAAAGTATATTTATATATATATTGTCATTTAATGATATTGAAATTAATAATATAAACGCAGGCCTGTTACTCAATATACGCGATTCAAAAATATATAAAGCATAATTTTTTTGTCATTTAAAGATATTGAAATGACAATTCAAGAGAAATTAACACCATTTATTGTTTGCGATATCAAATCTGCAAGAAAAATTTTCGTGAAATGGTTTACTTGCCAATACATTCTTATTTTTATATTAATTGTTGAAGTTCTAATTTCAATAATCTTGTAAGTATATTTTGGCTTTCTCCAGCCGGTACATAGGTTTGAACTGATTTTTGTCGAATTTCTATAGGATCAATAAGTCGAAACATTCATATTTGTATACGGATCCTTATGAGCCAATTGTTCACGGAACATTTGAAACTTTTGCAGACAACAAAACTGAACTTTGGAATTCAATAGTACGACGGATAGGACAAACTATACGAGACCTTTATGGTGAAATAATGGTTGTAAGTCGTGGGTTCGGACATCCAAATTATGATGGATTCGTGCCATATTAAAAGTTATAATTTCAATTTCGAATAGAATTCATGGTAGTGATTGTTCAAACATCTGTATTGATATTTTGTAAAATAGGCTTTAATTTATTGAACAATAAATATCTTCAATCATATTTGTACATTGAATAATTGTACATGGAGCCGTAGATTAATACACCTATATTTGTGGTTTATTCGTAGGCAAACTTAGTAAAATTCTGCAGAGTTAACTCTAAAAATTTTGATTTTTTAACTAAAAAATATCGTAAATACACGATCTAAGATTTTTACTAGAATTATGCTATAACGTTAAAAGTTTAACTTATTTAATTTTATCAATATGCATGTATGTACGTTGTACAGTACTTAGCGTTAGAGTCTTGAATTATAAATTTCAAAAGTAAGCTGGCAACCTCCAATTAAACTTTATTTGGGCGCCGAAAACAGATTAATTATGGTCAAAATTATCCTTATCCTAAAATATTATGTTTCACAACATATACCTATCATTTAAATAAAGATCTTCAAATTTTTTTTTAATTTTTGCTACATAAACACACTTCTTTGTCAAAAGAAAAGTAAGTATACATATTTTGTTTAGGCAATTTTATTTTTTCCAATTTAAAGAAGATTAACTTTTTTATAGAGCGATATGAGTGATGCAAGCGAAAATGAAGAGAAATTGGCAAAAGTTGATGATTGGAAAGCTGAAATGAAAAAGCGAATTAACGAAGCCAAAATTTATGATGTTACATTAATACCACCAGATAATGGTTCAGTCAACATTAATAAATTTATAGAATTCCAAAAAACACTTGAAAATTATCTTAATTATCAGTCAATTAAGTGGGATTTAACACTTATAGATAATTTTCTTAAGCTATATTCGCCCGATGATACTCTCGAAAAATTTAAATCTTACTTAGAAACTCAAGAAGAAGAAAAGGCGAATGATTTATCAAAAAAAACGGATAACGCAAAGAAATTCTATAGGGAAACAAAAAAACGTAGTCGAAGAAGTCGATATTCAAAAAATTTACTTTCAGTGACTCAAATCATAAAAAAGAATGATTTAAGAGAAGCATTTTTTAGAATTACAAAATTAACAAAGACTGATTTGTGTGATAAGGATATTTCCTCAATTATTGAAGAATTTGTGAAAATAAGGTTAGTATTTAAAATCCGATTAAAATCTCTTAATTTGCGTTTTACTAAAATATCATTAATTTCTACAGTAATCAAAATTAATATTTATTATTAAAAAAAAAAAGTATACAATTCTAAGAATTTTTATTATGACAATTAAAAATTAGAGCATGATAAACATTAAGAAATTAGCAACAATATGGATTTAAATTTACAGATTTTTATTCTTATTCTGATGTATTATTGACAATTGACTAAAATGTAAACTTTGTAGTGTCAACAAACTGAATTGAAACCGCAATAATCTGGTAGCTTAGAGTTTGGAACCAATTAAAACAGATTTTTACATATGAAAATCCAGTTCCAAACTCTACTTGATTAGAGAATTGAAACTGACTTTATTTTTCATATGACATTTGTTAAATCCGGGTTTAATCGGTTTTAACTTATAAAAAAAATAAACAGATTTAACTTGTGATCGTAAGACAACATTTACATTCAGATGTCTATTAGTAATTTTATGGAAGATCACAAGTTAATATGTTCTATTAGTAATTTCGCATCTTCTCATGTAGAAGCCTCTTAAAAAAACTTTTGCTGCAGCCTAGACACACAAAACGCCGATTTCTTTATACGTTTAGATTTCGAACCAATAATCTTTTGTGTTTAGGTTATTAACAAACATGACATTTACCGATGTCTATTAGTAGACCACAAGTTAAAGATAAACAAAGAAACTTGAAAATAAGATATGTACATTCGAATGTTTATTAGTCTTATCAGGTAGAAGCCCCTTAAAAAAAATTTTGCTGCAGCCTGCAAGACACACAAAACGCCAATTTCTTTATAAGTTTAGATTTCGAACCAATTATCTTTTGTGTTTACAGGTTAGTGATTTTATGGAAGATCTAAAGTTAATGATAAACAAAGCAACTTGAAAATAAGTTATGTACATTCGAATGTCTATTAGTCTTATCAGGTAGAAGCCCCTTAAAAAAATTTTTGCTGCAGCCTGCAAGACACACAAAATGCCAATTTCTTTATAAGTTTAGATTTCGAACTAATAATCTTTTGTGTTCACAGGTTAGTAATTTTATAGGAGATCTAAAGTTAATAATAAACAAAGAAACTTGAAAATAAGTTATGTACATTCGAATGTCTATTAGTCTTATCAGGTAGAAGCCCCTTAAAAAAATTTTTGCTG